AGAAGAGCATCGCAAACTGCTCAAAGTTTTCTATAATCCCCTCCGGAAGGGAGGTGTACCACGTTCGGCATTGACCACTGAAGGTAACCGGGAACGCACGACACAGATCCGAGTCCGTTGCGTTGATGAGTTGCATTTTTAACATGAACGCGCAAAGATGGTCGGCGGGATCGGACGTTCCTCCGTAGGTTGGTAGTCCCAGAGAGGAGAAGTTTGGTGGGACCGGAGTCTTGAAGAGTTCCCTCGATAGGGGGTTTTGCAGAACGTTCGGGCTCTTGTGCTTCCCGAAGGTTGACCGCAAGTGCTCCTCCAGAAAGTTGAGGTCCGGGTCGTCGGCCTCTAGTCCTCCGCCTTCTGTCCGAGCAGGGCTGTCGAGGATAAGAGCGCCTTTCATCTTTTCGTCGCGCGTCTTTCCCCTCGAGCCCTCGGCGGGGTCGTCTCAGGTCTTCAGGAGTTGGAGGATTTGGGAAAGGCTGTCTTGCATGCTTGCAATTTGCATCCCTTGGTTCTTGACCACTTCTTCCAACTCGGGCTCGTCTTCTACCCTCGGTGATAAGCCTCGGAGGGTGTTGTTTTCAGTCATTCCCTTGAGGGGGGTTTCGAAATCGTCTCCCATCTCGTTCGCCACAAAGTAGTAGTGCCCCACGGTGGGCGCCAAAATGTTTGTGCCTGGAATGTACCAAGCGGTTTGTGAGACTCCACTGGCCTTGGGCGGCCTCGATGGTCGGGGGCGGTCTTCGAAACCCTGCAGAAAGGTCCTCAGGGGGGTTCCTGGGACCTCCTCCGATGCTTAAGTTAGAGAGAGAAGTGAGGAGAAAGTAAATAAGAGAGAGAATGGAGTTGGTGGAAGTTACCATCAATGTGGTTCGCAATTGAGTATTTATACTAGCGCTGAGCGGATCATGGGCATTTAATGGCTTGTCGGGCGTCCTGGGACGCCCTTGGCAGTTCTGACCATTCCGTACCTTTGTCAGGCTCCGTGCAGGTCAGATCAGAGCCAGGTTTCCGTTTGCCATTGTGTCGGGCGGTTCTGGGACGCCCTCGACAGTTCTGACCTGTCCGTACCTTTGTCAGGCTCCGTACCGATAGGATTGGGACCAGGCACCCACGTGTCTCCATGTCGGGCGGTCGTGCCTCCATGTTCGGACGGTTCTCGCCGTATCTTCGGTCGAGACCGCCTTTGGTGGGTTTCTGGTGGCTCGTTGCCCCTATTCAGGTCCAACTCGCTTCTTTGTGGATTCTGAGCCACTATGGGCTTGGGGCCCAAGTGTCTCACTATTAGGCCCAACAACGGGTCATAAGCTACTATGGGCCTGGAGCTCAGACGCCCTAATATTTGGTCCAACACATTTCCTCTTACCCCATCTACTCTGATCGAAGCATGAATGGTAGAATGACGGACGACAACGGGCTGGAGAGCCATCTTGAAGGGCTGGACGGAGAAGGCAGATTTAGAGGAGATGAAAACGCCGCTCAATTACGAAGTGAGGGAGCTAAGGTCTGAAACGGCGACGGAATTGGAGAAGGAAGAAGAGGGCAGCGGTGGCCTAGGGAAGCAGTCGTTCTAGCTGGAGAGGCAGTACTGAACCGAATGTCCAGAACCACCGTCGCAGCCGGCATGCAAGCTTTCTTCTTATCCTTCTCCTGAAATCAGCGGCTTGCCCTGATCCTCTAAAATTTGCGTCGGCGTCCAAGGAAGCCCTCCTTTTCCTTCGCTGTCGATGGACATTTGGCCGAACCCTTGGTCAATTCATAGATTTTATTAAAGCCTCCCTTTCTCCTTCGCCGACAACAAGGAGTTCGTCGAATTCTCAGTCAAAGCCTCCCTTTATCATCTACCGGCCGGTCGGATCAATACCAGTCAATATTTTGGGGTTTTGCGATTCAGACTATAAAACCAGTCGACACTCTATATCGGAGCATTTGGCTGTGCCATTTCAGATTTGGTGTGGTTTCCAATTTTACCGGTTTAACTGGCCGCTCCGATCTGGTTTCCTGGACCATGGAATAAAGAGGAATGATGAGATTGTGGATTAAAGGGGTATAATATTTTTTTGAAACTTCCCCATCATTTTTCATCTTCCTTGGTTACTCCTCCCGTGCGCTTGCAGCTTTTCCCCATCTTTTCTCATTTTTCATTCTTCCTCCTCTCTCTCTCCCTCACACACCCAAACAAAAATCAATCAGAATCAATTTACCATTTCCTCTTTCACCATCTACTCAGACCAAAGCACGAATGGTAGAATAACGGGCGACAACGAGCTGGAGAGCCATCTAGAAGGGCCGGACGGAGAAGGCAGATTTAGAGGAGATGAAAACGCCGCTCAATTGCAAAGAGAGGGAGCTAAGGTCTGAAACGGCGAAGAAATTGGAGAAGGAAGAAGAGGGCAGCGTTGGCCTAGGGAAGCGGTCATTGTAGCTGGAGAGGCAGTACTGAACCGGGTGTCCGGAATCACCGTCACAGCCGCATGCAAGCTTTCTTCTTGTCCTTCTCCTGAAATCAACGACTTGCCCTGTTCCTCTGAAATTTGCGTGGGAGTCCAAGGAAGCCCCCCTTTTCCTTTGCTATCGATGGGCATTTGGTCGGACCCTTGATCAATTCATAGATCTTATTGAAGCCTCCCTTTCTCCTTCGCCGACAACAAGGAGTTCGCCGGATTCTCAGTCAAAGCCTCCCTTTATCCTCTACTAGCCGGTCGGATCAATACCAATCGGTATTTAGCGGTTTTGCGATTCAGAATATAAAACCGGTCGTCACTCTATATCGGAGCATTTGGCTGTGCCGTTTCGGATTTGGTCTGGTTTCGGATTTTACCGGTTCAACTGGCCGGTCCGATCCGGTTTCCTGAACCATGGAATAAAGAGAAATGATGAGATTGGGGAATAAAGGAGTATAATTGTGGTGGGTCTTGGCAGTGGCCGCCTGGGCCTTGGTGGTTTTTTTTTTTTTCTTAATTAAAGGAACATGCCCAACACACTATATATATTGGTATGGCTTGTGGGTTTATTTTTTTAATAGCAATTGATAGGATTATGAGTTATTTTAGAAAAATTAAAAAAAATTATTGTTAATAAAAATTTAAGATTGTTTCATTTAAATAATAAAATTCTTCCAGTCTAATGAAGGTGTGTCGACTATAATTATTGAAGGGTTGTAGGAAGTGTCGAACTAAAAAATTTTGTACATAAAATATGTCGGACAACACACTCTCAATTGCCTTAGGTCCGTCCCTGGACACAAGATGATTTGTTAACCGAGTTCGACCTATTGCTTACGTCTCGACTCAAATGTGGCACCCTTTAAGACTTAATGTCTAGGTTTTGATCCTATTTCAATCTAACTCCAAATTGAGTCCCTTTGTGTGAAAAATTCAAACTCTTGACAAGAATAGAGCAATATTCTTTTTCTCTCTTACTCACAAGCACTCACGCTATAGAGAGAAACTACACTAGCTCACAATCACTCAAGCAATTCATATCACTTCTCACACCTTTTACTATTGACAGAGTGTTTGCTCTTACTTTATGTAGGATTGCTCTGTCACATCCGATAAGAATGATTTAGGACGATTTATTTCTGACTTCCCTTTTCAACTGATGTGTGCAGAAAATGAAAGCTTTTTCCCAACATGTATCCCTTTAAAAAGAATGAAAGAACATATCAGAACAATTGGCAATGTGTTTTGTATCACTCATTCGACGTTGTTCATTTTCATGCTAGTATGATTTTTCCTTTCTTGGAATGGAATCACATTCAACCATAGAGAGAAACGATGGCAGATCATTATTGACTTTTAGTCAATCCAAATTAGGAACAAGTTGGGGAATGAGTTGACTAGACAGGTATTGCGGAATGAGTTGACTAGAAGAGTTTCGGATGAGTTTCTGTTTTGACAGTGTTATGCCCACCACGACATTGTGAGTTGTGACTACAGAGAAATAGCAATTAGCGCCCAAAAAGTCTACTCTACATCACCATACATAGGGATCGAGTCACAGCATGCAGCAACCATAACAGTTTAACAATAGTGTATGTAAATGCAGCAGTATCTTCATTCTTCGGCCAAAAGATGCTGAACTATACCAGTTTCTGTACTCCATAGATTCCTTTTTTTGGTAGAAAGACAGACACAGAGGTGTCTAAATCGTATTAATAACTAAACGTTCCGTGGCAATGCCAATACAATCATAGCTAATCCAATAACTCAACGTAACACAACATGAAGACACTGAAACTAAAAGGAGAAGCTAAGCTCAAAAGGTAGATATTAAAAACAGTGAAATGATAGAAATTGAAGAATTCAGGAGATCCTGTAGCTCAGCTTTCGTCACTAGTTGCAGAAACATAAAGATTGCACACTTCCCAGTTCTCACATAACATTGACACTACGAAGAAGGCAAGCCTAAAGGTAAAGGATAGGAGTAAGCTGACCAAATTGAAGAAGTTGATCGACGAGACCCTGTTCGCAGCTCGCTGAGTCCCAAGTTGCAGAAGCACATAAAAGTGAGCACTTCCGCGTTCTCACCCCAAGTCATGTAGATACCGAATATGACGTAATACGACAAGCCTGAAGGTAGCTATTTCCAAACTCTGCAAGACACTATCAATTTCAAACAGCATGCTCCTGAAGTTCATAGTCATGAATGAAAGTAATCTAGCTAAATGTCACCCGCATTTGGAAAATGAAACAAGTCTTCGTCAAATAAGTGCTTCCACTTCCAGCTCGGCTGATTAGCTGTATCAGGGCTGAAGTAATCACAACGGCAGGAAGAAACATGAACACCACCACCGTACCCGTATGCTGTGTTCAAAATATGAAGTACCCAATAAGTGATCATTAGGGAAAGGAATCATTCAACCAATAGAATCAGATAAGCAAAAATCAAGAAGCAAAAAGCAGCCTACTTGGTCCGAATCCAAGCTTTGATCAAAGCATCACTCAAATTACCCAAAATAAACATCCTGAAATCCATCGTCTACACTTCCATCACTCGGTTTATCAATCTATGGACCTCTTCTTCTTTCTAGGCCGCTCTTCAGAACGACTGTTATCTCTCCTTTCCTCCTCAATCTCACCACTCTTTCTCTTCTTCATATTCTCTTCCTTTTGCGTCAGCCGATCACTCTTATGTTCTTCCTCCTTAATTCTCGTTTTCCCCCTCGCATCTTCCTGGTCACCATTTTCATTGTAAACACCAACATAGCCATTCTCAAGTTCTCTACTCTTGTCCTTCTTCTTTTTCTTCTTCTTCTGCTTACCACTCTCGCCACCCAAATCCCCTAAACTAGCTTCCCCATGGCTCGATTCACCCTTCATCTCAACCCCTTTCTTGTTCTCGCCGTCCCCTGAAGTACCGAGATCGCTGTTCTTCGTCTTCTTCATCTGCTTCTTATTTGACATCTCTCCTTCATCCACATTGCCCTCGTCTTTACGCTGCTCTTCCTCAATCTGATCTCCTTCCTTCTTCTTCTTCCTCTTTCGCTCTTCCAAGTTCAACTCGGCCCGACCCGTCTCCTTCGACCGTTGAACTCTCTCGTCGACCGTGTTGACGGAAGTGATGGTACGTGCAGAGGGTTTGGCAGCGTCGGATCTGAGACTCTCTCGAGCCCTGCGCGAGGATTTGGCGTGCAATCGGACCAGCTCGTCGAAAGCAGAGGTGGCACGCCGGAGGTACGCGTTGACGGCCTGGGACGCGCCGGTATCGGCGGAGACGAATTGGGAGAGGATAGAGGCTGCCTTGGGTAGAGAGACGGGTGTCGATGAGACGATTTCACCGGTCACCGACTTCATGCTCCCGAATTTTGGTAGGGTTTAAGGTTGACGGTGAAGAAGAGAATTTGGTGGTTTTTAGGGTTTTGCGAGGTTTTGGCGGCTCGTGTATTGTTAACTTGTACAGTATTCTCTTTCAAAAAAAAAAAACTTTTTTTTTTTCACTAAAACCCTTGCGGATTTTAAACGTTAAAGACAAGGGAGGATACAAGGCTCCGGATAGCATAACAACACCTTAAGTGTTGTTATTAGGGTTAATTGCAAGAATGGTCATCGGGTTTACTAAAATCGTTCATGTTTGGTCACTGCAAATATTTAATTACATTTATGGTCACTAAGATTAGTTCAATAGTTCACATTTGGTCACTCTTCGTTAGTCTCTGTTAGTTTTTGCTGATGTGGCAGTCAACTATTATAGTTGACCATTAAATGAGTGACGTGGCTATTAAATTTTTTTTATAAATATTTACAATTTCCACCTCATTTTACAACTATTAAAAAATAAAAATAAAAATAAAAATAAAACTTATCTCGGCCATCTACGCCACCACCGTGGCTATGACGCGATCGTCTCCACCGCCGCTCCTTCCTCAATGCCGGCCTCGCTTTGCTTCAGGGTAATTTGTGTAGAAGAATACACTAGGAAAAGCCATGGATTTGTAGTTGTGGTAGCTGAACAAACTCACAGGCGGACACTCCAAAGCTAAAACACTGTGAGAGAGATAAAAATCATAAATCCCCCGCCTTCGGTAACCCTGAAGAAGAAGAGCTGAGGCCTCAGCTGCTTGACCGATTTGGGATGCATGCCCAAGTTGGGATTGTGAGGGATGCAGAGCTGAGAGTTAAGATTGTGGAGGAGAGAGCACGGTTTGACAGAAACCCGAAGGAGTTTCGAAGTTCTTATATGGCCGAGCAAGAGAAGTTTCAGCAGGAAATTGGGGCTGCTAGGGCGTGCCTTGGTTCGGTGCAGATAGATCACGACTTGAAAGTTAAGATCTCGAAGGTGTGTGCAGAGCTCAATGTGGATGGGTTGAGAGGAGATATCGTGACTAATAGAGCTGCCAAAGCTCTTGCTTCTCTCAAGGGTAAGGACAAGGTGTTTGCTGAAGATATTGCCACTGTGATTCCCAACTGATTGAGACACCGTCTTAGAAAGGATCCATTGGAGTCGATTGATTCGGGCTTGCTTGTGATTGAGAAATTTTATGAGGTTTTTAGCTGAGGCTCTAGTACTACTTTGCCGAAACTTTTCAGTTTGATTCGAAGCTGAACAAACTCACTTTTACTGTAAATCTCCATTGGAATTCCCCTTCCCATAGTTTCCTTCCCACTTCGGGTTCTCACAAAGTGGGCAAATCAGTATGAAATTCTATATTCTGGGTTGTTTTCGTTTTCAATTTCTGGAACAAACCCAATTCGTGATTGCGATTGAATGAAGAAGGGGGAAGGAAGGGAGGGAAAGAAATGGTGGGAATTAAAACGATGGGGAGCCCCGATAAGAACAATCATCATCACCAGCAGCAGCAAAATGGGTACTCAACAACTCACCACTCAACCAACAGAATCAATTCCGGGCAGGAAGAGAAGCTCGATGAGCTGCGGTGTCTACTGGGCAAAGCCGACGGCGACCCGCTCCGAATCGTCGGTGTCGGAGCCGGCGCCTGGGGAAGCGTATTCGCCACTCTTCTACAAGACAGCTACGGCCAGTTTCGGGACAAGATCCAAATCCGGATATGGCGTCGCGCGGGTCGGGCGGTGGACCGATCCACCGCCGAGCACCTGTTCGAGGTGATCAATTCCCGGGAAGATGTGCTCCGACGGCTGATCCGGCGGTGCGCCTACCTCAAGTCGACTGCAAATGGATCAACCCTTGGGTTCGACCTGATTACTCTACTGGTTGTGTCGGTCAGAATCTTGAGTTTTAGTTTTATTTTTATTTTTTAATAGTTGTAAAATGAGGTGGAAATTGTAAATATTTAAATTTTATTATTTGAATTAATCTTAGTTCAAATATAATAGTTGACTGCCATATCAGCAAAAACTAACGGAGAGTGACCAAATGTGAACTATTGAACTAATCTTAGTGACCATGAATGGAATTAAATATTTGCAGTGACCAAACATGAACGGTTTTAGTAAACCCAGTGACCATCCTTGCAATTAACCCGTTGTTATTATAACAACAAGGGTATAAGGGTAACTGCACAAAATATTAAATAATAAGTTGTTTTCTTTTACCTGCCATTAAATTTGAAATTCAAAATTAATAATAAAATCATTGAAGCGCGCGATTGAGACATTTTCGTTTTCCGCTTTCCCCTTTCCCCTCTGCTCACGAACTGCTCTCCGACGGGACGTCTCCTTCGGTTGCTCTCTCCCTGTTCTCGCCAAATTTCCATCTGCATCGAGAGATTTTGTCTGCGGCTTGTGGATTTCCTTCGCGCGATTCTGTTTCCTCCGTCGCCGAAGCTAATTTCGAGGTATGCCGGTGATTTCCTCCGCTAAACTGTCTTCTCCTCCGTCGTCAGTTTTGGCCTGTGAAGTCGCCGTTGTCGTTTGGCGTCGCCGGAGTTCCACTTGTATGGTGTTAGTTTGGCGTCGCCGTTGTTGTTTTCGTTAGCATTGTCATTGCTTGCTTCTGCTATTGAATTTACAACCTTCGTTTTCATGTTTGCCCTCTGTTACTTTCGTTTTCCAGTTTTCTGCGATGTTTTGACGCATCCAGTCTAAATTTGTTGAAGGAGACGAGGAAATTTCAATACTTGTGAGTTCTGGTTAAGTTTTGTTGGATGTTTCTTCATTTTTGTGGTGTGCTTTGATTATTTTAGGGTTTCTGGTTTCTCATGAGTCGTTTGTGGTGTTGTTTAGTAGTTCTGTTGTTTTGTTCTTTATTTTGGTGGTGCGCTTTGTGTTTGGTGACAGTTAGAGTGTTTGTGGGTTCGATTGGGGCCTTTCGGGAGGGTTTTAATAAAACTATTGTGTATTTCCAGCCTGCTGTTGGTGGTTCTTTTAAAAGGTTTTGTGGTTTGTGTTTCGGATTTCACAGTTTGGTTTAGAAGATTTACTGGTGTGCATTTGCAGTTGTTGTTTGTCTCCTTTACATCTGATTATTGAGTCGTTTGTGGTGGTGTTCAATAGTTCTGTTGTTTTGTTCTTTTTTTTTTGTGGTGCGCTTTGTGTTTGGTGACATTTAGGGTGTTTGTGGGTTTGATTGTGGCCTTTCTGTAGGTTTTTAATACAACTATGGTGTATTTCGAGGGTGATGTTGGTGGTTCATTTGCAGTTGTTGTTTGTCTCCTTTAAATTTGATTATTGGATTGTTTTCATGGTTGTACAGTTTGCATTAGGCCCTTGATGGTTTGCATTTTATATGTTCTGGTATGAGATTGCTTATGTTGGTTTGTGTTTTGGTTGCTTTGTAGGCATGGCTCCTGGTAAGAAACGTGCAGTAAAGGGGAAAGAAAAGGAAAAAGTTCCAACACCTAAGCGAGAGAAAGATGGTGCTTCTCCTGTGCCTGGAGAGCCGGATAAGAGGCATCGTAGTAATACTAATCGTATTCTTGCCATCATGGATGCTGACAGTACAAGTGAAGAAAAACTGCAGATGCTTGATCCTCTGGGTTTTAGGGGTGTGTCGAGGGTTAAGCTTACGAGACTCCCGGATAATTTTACTGAATGGCTTTGCAAAAGTTTTGATGTCAGTTCAAGGTCTTTCCCGCTGCTTCGGTTAGGGAAGTTTAGAATTGGAGAGGCAGATGTGGAGAGAGTCTATGGTTTGCCGCGTGGACTGTATGCTGTTAAGCTGGATATGTTCAGTGCAGCCCAGAGGCACAGGTGGGGAATTGAGTTAGGGCTTTCCAATACTAGGAAAGGAAAGGCGACATTGGCGAACGTTAAACTGGCATTGGAAGAGGAGAGGGACAATAAGAAGTGGAGGGATCTTTTTGTACTGTATGCAATGGAGGCAGTTCTGTGTCCCATTGGAAATTTGAAGATTAACCTTTCCTATGCTGGTTTTTTGCAAGATGAAATGGTCGCTGACTTCACCCAATATAATTGGTGTAAGCATGTGGCTGACCATTTTAATGACAGTATGGTTGAAGTGGTTCAATCAAAATCAAAGTTCCCTGGTGACGTTCATCTTCTTTTTGTAAGTCAATAAATATACCCCTTTTCGAATTTTGGTTTAATGTTTCATTTATGGTTTGTTTATTGACGAATGTGGCGTGGTTGAAGATGTTTATGGTTTGTTTAAGAATATTTATGGTTTGATTTTTCCCCCGTGTTATAATGTTTCTGGTATTGTTTATCATTTATGGTTTGTTTATTGACGAATGTGGTGTGGTTGAAGATGTTTATGGTTTGTTTAAGAATATTTATGGTTTGCTTTTGCCCCCCTTTGTTATAATGTTTCTGGTATTGTTTATCATTTATGGTTTGTTTATTGACGAATGTGGTGTGGTTGAAGATGTTTATGGTTTGTTTAAGAATATTTATGGTTTGCTTTTGCCCCCTATTGTGTGGTGTGTATTATAATCTTTCTGGCACAGTTTGTTTGTGGTTGCTTGACTTCTGTCTGTTTGTATATGTGGCAGATTTTGATTCTTGACCGTTTGAAGAACCCCCCTGAGCTGCCCATACCGACCTGTAGGCACAGGTCGTACAAAGTCGCAAGTGCTGCTTTTCAAGTACTGATGGACGAAGGTCATCTCACTATTGGTCATCGAGATGTAGTGGTGGAAGAACCAGCAACCTCCAGTCAACCAATGGGACGAGGACGTGTGAAGGGTTCAAAGAGGAAAAGGCCGGTAGATGATCTTGATATGGAGACGGAAGGGGATCTTCAGAAGCTTCCCTATCTTGACCTCAACTTGGATGATATTCATTCGGTTGAAGAAGTGAGTGATTTTTCTGTGTTATTCGTTTTATGGCTTTCTTTAGAGTACTTTCAGTGTGCTTTACAAGTATAGTGGTTTGCATTAGTTTGTTTACGGAATACTTTATTTTATTCATGTGCTGGT